TTTTTTTTTTTTTTTTTTTTTTTTTTTTTTTTTTTTTTTTTTTTTTTAAACATAGGCTGATTACATTGTGAGCGGCCGCTTCTATGCAAAAAGGAGAATCACAGTGACACACGATCTTAAAAGTCCAGAAGATTACTGCCTTAACAACAAGCTCATTACAAAGTCACAAGTTCATGCCAAAAATGGCGAGTTACCAAATTATTATTAAAACATTAGCGCAAGCAGAGACGAGAAAATGATTTGGGGTAGGAGAAAGATGGTGAAGAGATGAAGGAGAAAGAGAATGAGAAGAATTCCAAAGATTACTAGATCTAAATTCCTACAGAGGCTCGGCTTGCGCCTTTGCCTTGGAGTCTTAGGTGGGGGAGAAGGAAGAGGTTGAGGAGAGGAAGTCTGGGCAGATGGTGGTTTTGTTACAAGGAAGAGGGGTTGGAGGGAAAGAGGATGAGCGGGGGGAGGATCATCAGAAGAGGAGGAATCATCCGGATCAGTCCTTCCGGATTTCCTCTTCCTCTTCGGTAGTGACTGCGGTGGCGATTTGGCTGGCTTCTTCGGCATTCCTGATGTCACTATCCCTAAAACCCACACACTTTTTCCTCCCCTTAGTGGAACAGGAAAAGAAACGGGGATAACCAGGGTTGAAGGGAGGAGAAGGGTCGAGAGGTAAGACCGGGTGTCGAAGGTAGTCTGGAAGGTTGTCGAAGGCTTCCTTCCGAACGAATCTAAACCAGGGGTCCGGGCCCCAATCAGCAAGTTCCTCAATGTGAAGAATGGCGACCGCTGCTTCCCCCAAAGCGATGAAGAATTCTCTGAAGTGGACTGCGATGGGGAAGGAGAGGAAAGGTGATGACGCCAGTCCTGGGAGGTTCTCCGCCAGAGTAAGGAGCCTCTTCTTTACCCATGAGAACGCCGACCGATCGTTCATGCATGCCACGCACATCCCGAGGCAATAAAAATTGACGGCGATGTCGGTGGCACAAGTCAGCTGAAATTCGGCCAAATCCAGACGGGCTCTGAGAAGCTCTCTCAGTGAGAGTGATAGCAACATTCTCGAGTCGACGAAGGTGAGCTTAAAGAGAGTCGCAGAAAAGAGCGAGTATGAAAGGAGCTCCACGGCGTGCTTGCGCTTGATGACACAAAATGACTTATCCCCATGCTGGAAACGAAACTTGGCAGCCTCGTTACAAAATCGCTCAATATCCTCAACATTAAGCAGCTAACCGTACTTGGTAATGACCCTTTCCTCCTGGAGTTTGATGAAAGAAGGAGGGATGAGTAGAGGTAGCGCAAAGAGATGGAGAGGGAGCAGCGAGGCAGTAGGAGGATCGATGACGAAGATCCTTTCTAAAACGGGATCAGTGGTGATCGGAGGTGAAGCTCTAGGCGTGGGAAAGTCAATGAGGGATGCAAAGAGTTGGAGGAGTGAATGCGATGGTGCAGGCGAGGTGGTCTGAAGCATGAGATGGACAGGGAAGTGGTGTTTGAGAAAAGGATCAAAGAGTGGAGGTTGCTCGGGCGGAGGAGAATGATAGGAGAAAGAGGGAGATGCCGATGTGGGGGAAGAGGAAGAAGAGTGAGGAGGAGGGGGAGAAGAGGGAGGCGAAGGTCGGCGCGGCGGTGACAAGGGCAAGGTACAGAGCGGTAGGCTACCGGAAGCGCTCTTGCCGTTCATGGTGGTGGGCCTGAAAATGCTTACCTATAAATAAGATTGAAGAGGCCGGTTGCAGCGTAGTGAACAGGAGCAGACCCGGTTTTAGACCCAGTTTTAGACCCAGTTTTAGCCTGAAACTACCAGGTTCGAAGAAGGAGGATGAAAAACCGGTGCAGGTGCAGATAAAATGGTGCAGGTAATCGGTCGGAGAAAAGAGCACGTGCAGCTTGGTGAAAATGCAGCGCAGACCAGATGAGGACACAGCAGCCGCTTCGCCAGAATAGGCGATGTGAATGACCTGTCCTCCAAATGTCTGGCTGACTCGACTTGATGTGACGTGCAGGTTTGCATACGCAATGGGCGCAGCGGCTGGTGGGAGAAATCCAGAAAGCAGCCAGCGCGAGTTGACTCCACCTGCAGCGGCCGGTCCTGCACCGGTTACATATACTCTCGTGGCGACTGGAGGCAGCGGAGGATGGGCCGCCGAGGGACTCCTTCCTGCTGGGTGAGTCCTACTGGTCCCTCCTGTAGGAGTCGCAGATCCTGAGTACAAAGAAGCTCTCACCGTAGATCCTGGAACTGGAGAGATACCAGTCGGATCAGAAAGAGTCTGTCCGTAGATGATGAAGATCGATCGTAATGAGATAAACAGAAAAAATGAGAAAATGAAGAAACCACCTCGGAGTTGTTGCATGTCCTGGAACTGCGAAGATGAGGCCTTAGGCCGAAGAAGTTGACACCAACCTCAGAACTCCTTCTAGGTGGGTTGCATTTCATTTCGAATTGGCGATGCTGTAACGGTCTGCAGGAAAATGCAGTCAGCTGTACAGCAATAGACGGTAGAGAATGATTCGTGAGATTTCTTAGACTTTCGTTCATAGGTTTCCATCATCCATCACTGAGATTCGAAGTCAGGTCGGCATTTTTACAGTTCATCGGTGGGCCAACTGGGGTAAGCCCATCGGTGACAGATTCGTTTTGCCTAAGGGCCAGATCCCACTAGCCCCTATTGTTCATTTCTGACCGTTGATCTTTGTAATCAAGGGTGAAAAATGAATAATCCAGGGTAGTGGGATCTGACCCTTAGGAGGGAAAGAGAGATTCAGGAGAGATTTAGGAAAAGGGAGGGAAAGAGAGATTCAGGAGAGATTTGGGAAAATTTTGTTCGTTTGGTTTCATCTGGATTCGAACTCAAATCTACAATTCAACAGTTCGTGGGTGTACCAACTGAGCTCAGCTCGTTGGTAGGTCTCCAACCTTTGGATTCGACATATCTGGTACGAGTCTCGCCACACCAGTCTCGAAATGTGAAAAAGACAAAAATGCGGCGGGCGCATCTGGCCATGTTCTAGAGGGAAGTTCATTCTCATTTTACAAATTTCCAGAGTGGTGTGGCGATGCCCTTCTACGGCTACTGAGAATACAAACACGGCAGGAAAAGGAAAGGACTGCATTGCTGTTCGGCCGTAGATGAGGGAAATCAAGGTTGAATTGAAGTTGGCAATGCATTTGGACGGGATTCCTGTGCTGGTTAGGAGACGGGGAGTCGATTATGGCGAGGAAATTCAGTTCAGTAGCTGCCAGGAGGCGGGACCAGTTGTGCCATCAAGGAAGAGGAAGAGGGGAAGCGACAGCGCGCCGGAGTGAGCGGCAAAGAGCGGAGCGGCAGATAGCCAATCAAACTGTGCGATACTGCAGTTAGACGGAGGGTGACGTGGTGCGACACAGACCGGCATTTTGGAATGAAGCGGGGGGCGGACAATTGTCGGCTTTTGAGATTGACATCTGTTCTGTCTGTGACACCGCTGTGACAGTCGAGGATTGCCTTCAGTGTACGTTGCAGCCAAGCCAGGCAGGCAGGCACCCTCTTTGTGTGTGTCGGGCTGTCCTGCTCTGTCTGTTTGTCTCTCTCTCTCTCTCTTTCTTCCGGCGTGGTCAGTGCGCGTGATCGGGGCTGGTTTTTGTCTCTTCTCGGGCGATTCGCAGGGACTTTTTTTTTTTTTTTTTTTTCCAGGGGCTTTTCTTGCCCCCCCCCCTCCCTCCCGAAGCAGGGGCTTGTTGCGCGGTAAATCGCTGGCATTGTCCATTATAGTCTTGTAGTCACAGTAATTAGCTGGCGCGGAGCGCGTTAATTAGATTAGATGGAGCGCGGTAAGTGTTGGTGTTTGGCGGTAGGCGGTAAATAGGGCCTGCGGGGGAATTAGGTAAGGGGGGGGAGGGGGGAGGGGGAGAGACATGGGCCGTGTCAGGAGGGGAAATTGCAGAGGTGGTGACTAGGGTAAATTGGGGAATAGGAAAATATCATTCGGGTGAAAAAAATAATTGTTTCCAGTTCAGGAAAGGTCTCGGGAGCAGTTTCATCTGGTTACGCTGCCTGAACGGCATCGGGACAAGAGGTAGCGAGGAGGAGGAGGAGGAGGAGGAGGAAGGAGAAGCAGAAGAAGGAGCAGGTGTGGGAGGAAGAAAGTATGGAGGTTGGCGTTTGCACTAGACCTCCGCAGGAGGCTGTCGTTGACACTGGCGGAGGCGGCGCAGTTGGGCCAGCAGCAGCTGCTGAAGCCGGACACACAGAGCGAGAGCAGCGGTGGGCGAAGGTAGGACGAGCCGGACTGGCAGTGGGAGTTGGAGGGGTGGACGATTTGGGAGAGCAGGGACGTGGTAGGGAAGGTTTCCCTCTCGAGACATCTCCAGCGGCTAACTGTGCTGGCGCTGGCCCATTGGATTGCCGCCAGCACCATCGGTTCCAAATTCAGAGTCGGGGCATCCGAATCGGCCCTCGTACAGACCTCCGCACACAGCTCGAGATGGACAAGGTATGTGGTTGACAGCAAGGTCATCTTCTTACTCTCATCATCCTTCCTTCCTCCTTTCTCTCTCTCTTTCTCTCTTTCTCTCTTTCTCTCTTTCTCTCTCTCTCTCTCTCTCTCCCTTGTGCGTGCCCGTTGGCAGTATTGTGTTCCTCCTCCTCAGAGTCTTCTTAATGCAAGTAAATCGGACAGTACTGTGTTCCTCCTCTCTTCCATAAGCGTGCAAATCGGACAGTACTGTGTTCCTTCCTCTTCTCTTCTCCACGTGTCTCCTCTCTATCTCTGTCCAATGCCGAGATATGTGATATGTCTGCTGCCTGCTCTCTTTTCGTCCTGCCGCCTTCACTAGTGTGAGTATGCCTTCACTCTCCTTCTTTCTCCTTCTTTCTCCTTCTTTCTCCCTCTTTCTCCTTCTTCAATCGATAGATCCTCGTTCTCATTTCTCTGTTGCTCAATACTGTCCCCTTTCCTGGCTTTCCGATGTCATGTTAAGTGAACTTGTTCTCTCATGGCTTGTCTCTTCACCAGTGGCCTTTCCTTGCCTGTTTTCTTCGCGTGTTTTTAAAAGTATCTTCGATCCTTTTTTTTTTTTTTTTTTTTTTTTTCCGATAGGAAGATCATGGGCGATAGATCAATAATCCCACCTTGTTCACGTTAGGTGTCAGGCCAGGCCATGCCACTTAGTTTCCGTTAACTTGCTTGCTAACTTGCGTCAATTCTGATTAACGTTTTGCCCTACCTGACACGTATCTTATTAACTACTGTCTCCGCCCAGCGAACACAACGCACCCTGATAACGAATGTATACAAGCCATCTTTTCGGTGCCGTGCAGCCAAAACGAGGGGGCATTGTGTTTGGGGGAAGGCGGTAGGGACCTCTTGAGTAGGGGGCATTGTGTTTGGGGCGGACCCCTTGAGTGGGGGCATTGTGTTTGGGCGAAGGCGGTAGGGACCCCTTGAGTAGGGGGAAGCGCTTGTACGTTGGCACGTGTTACTTGGGACACCGAGGGAATAGAGGAACAATGCCACGTATTCCATCTCCCATCCTCGAGTCCTCGTCCCTGTTCCATCTGCCAGTTCCTCGGGGTCGGTGCCCCCAGTATTCTCCTTGCAAATCCCTTGGTGTCCAGCGTGGCAATCAGTCGGTGTCAGTGTGTCAATTGCCAGTTGTTCCACACGGTGCCACACTTTCCACTCCACTCCTTCGATGCCCCACCTGTCAATCCCAGCTGTCCCAGTTTTCAATCCCGCGTTCGCACGTGCCAATGCCAGGATGTTCCCCTCGGCCGTCCGATCATTGCTCTAGTACTCAGTCAGTTTTACGATGGTTTGGTTTTCCCACTCTCCAATCCCACGGTGTCGTACTGGCAAGTAACAGGATGTTCCACTTGGCAGTGCTTCGATGCTCTGTTAGAGAGAGATAGATAGATAGATAGATAGATAGAGAGAGAGAGAGAGAGAGAGAGAGAGAGAGAGAGAGAGAGAGAGAGAGAGAGAGAGAGAGAGAGGGTTTACTTGCTAGTCACTCGGTTTGTACCCCATGTCCAGTTGACGGATCAAGGTCCGTGGTTCATAAGGACCTTGTGTACACGTGTGTATCTAGACGGGTTGCTGCACCAGATTCCTCACACTACTGGTCACGTGGTGTGCTCCTGATGATTCCAATTTGTGCTTGTTAGGTAATTCGGGTGTGCCCTCCTTGATGTCCCTTTCTCACTTATTTGCCCTCCCTTAAAGTGTCCGTTGCTCAGTTGCCTTCCCGCTTATATCCCTGCCTCACCGCTCCTAGCCATTTTGGCGGTTTCACGTCTTTCGTCTTTTTTCTGCTGATCGCTAAATGTCTTTTTCCGCAGTTTTTTAGGGGCATTGTAGCTGCATGTGGTGCAACTTTCGATCTAGATACAGCGATAATGATCTTACGTTGTATTCGGCGGAAGAGGGTAGGCGTCTCTTGCTCAGTGTGTCTTTCCTCTTTGAATTTGTCCTCAGTTCTGTGGTCCTTATTCCCCCCGGGGGTATTCTTCATACCTGGCAGTAGATTGTGAGGTCGATGGTCAGGAACGATATGGACTTCAACTCCAAGTCCGGTGTCCCCACTTGGTGGGACCTCCCCTCTCCTTTTTTTAACCTCTCTGTGCGTTGATGCTATGATGATATGATGATTTGAGAATCGTCGCCGAACGAGGTCCTAAGATTGGACACCAGACCTGGAAGATGATGCCATGGTGTGATGGTGACGAGGAGCTGCTAAGAAGGGTCGAAGGGTCAGTGGGGGAGCCTTGGTTAGACCCCCAACAAAGCCGGCACGAGAAATCGTGCCACTACCCCCCCCCCTTTAGCTCGAGTGTTATGAGGGTCAGCGTCTTTGCAAAATTAAGGGTCGAAGGCTGCTAAAGGCGCGGTAATTGGGAGAAATGGTGCCACTACCGTCTTCACCCGAACACAACGTACTGTCATTACTGCTGTATCTAGACTCAAAGTTGTCCCAAATACAGGTGTAATGACGGTACAGTGTATTCGGGTGACGATGGTCATTATAGCTCTAATTTGGCCCAACTTCCAGTCTAGATTCAGAGATATGACGGGCACTTTATTCGGGTGAAGATTGTAGTGCACGCGCGTTTCATTCGGGTGAAGATTGTAGTGCACGCGCGTTTTATTCGGGTGAAGATTGTAGTGCACGGGCGTTTTATTCGGGTGAAGATTGTAGTGCACGGGCGTTTTATTCGGGTGAAGAAGAGGAGATGGTGGTGTAAGGTCCCCGATGGCGCCATTCAGGAATTCAAATTGTCCGCGTACCGCATATAGTGAAGTCTTCTAAAATGAGGGCATGCTCACACTACCGGACTTTTTTACTTGTTTGGGGACGGAATTGCGGTCAGATGCATCCAGGTGCGGCCGTAAATGCGGTCAGATACGTTTATTTATGAGAGTGCTAGTGTGAGTACGCCCTGACTGATGAAGTACTGTATTAGACTCTTAGTGGGCGAAGTCCGACTACTTTAGCAAAGAGGATTAGATTAACCGTCTGAACCCGGACGTGTTTGCTGATAAGTGCACGAATTCGTGATTGATATATGCTTCTCTGCATCTCTGAACAGAACACGTCCGGATACAATTAGACGCGTAATCCATTCCTCTTTTTGCTAGGAGGACCTCGCCTTGCGCGCGAGTGATGGATAATGTTTTTTTTTTTTTTTTTTTTCGCAAAAAGATATGGAGAATGTTGATTCTTCGGAATTAGACGAGCGATTAGTAAATAAAAATATGGTTGAAAAAAAAAGCGCTGAATTTTGCACTTCGGCGGCAATTTTATCGGGTTTATGAATTTGGAAAGAAAAAAAAGAAAGACATCGATCCTTATCTCTCGCTCAGTCTGTCTGCTGGTCGTTGATCCGATCAACGGAATCCGACAGTCCCTTCGTTTTTATTTAATTCTTTTAATTATACTAATAATTTTATAATACTGTAATTATAATGCTTTGATGTCGGGGACCTCAACATTCGACCCAGTGTGAAAGAATGCTGGGGGCATTTTACCTAGTGTTTCGATTAGTTTGCGTGCCGTGCTGCACGATTTATGGCTCGCGCGGGGGCGTATCTTATCTTAAAATTCCCTTAAAAATTCCCTCCTATTTTTGCATTTACAAAACTAAAAAAAAAAAAAAAACGATTTTTGTTTTCCGAATCATGTGATGCGATTTGTGGACCGCCTGTAGGGCACACCACTGTCGAAACGGAAAGAGCACGAGTGCATCTTCTTCAGAAAGTGGACAGATGCATGCATGGTACGCGAGTATGTCCGAATATGTGACTTTTAGTATGCAAGTTATCATTGCTGACCCATTGTTTTTTCTCAAATATTACCTAAGAATAATCATTGCTGACCCATTGTTTTTTCTCAAATATTACCTGAGAATAATCATTGCTGACTCGTTGTTTTTCTCAAATATTCATTTGCTGACCCATTCTTTTTCTCAAACATCACCTAAGAATAAATCATTGCTCAACCATTCTTTTTCTCAAATATATATTACCTAAGAAGAGTAATCATTGCTTACCCGTCCCGTTCTTTTTCTCAAATCTTACCCTGGGCCCGGCGCCCAGCACATTCTGCTCCCCACGAATATAGTGTTTTCTTTTTTCTTTCTTTTTTTTTTTTTTTTTAAGGACGTTGTGCAAGGCGTCTATCCCAGTAAGAGAGCCACCGGGATTGACTGATTGCCAAAGAAGAAAAAAAAAAAGTATGCAAGCACTTTGGGCCTTGATGCGGGTGTAATTAACCAGTGTTATTTTCCCTTAGATATGTATGGTTACCGAGCTGTTCGATTTTTCAATTATTATTATTATTGTTTTTAATTTGGTCCATTTCGATTTATGCGTGTCATCCTTGAGTACGAATATAGATTGGAACTGTTTGCTAACCAACGTTTTTAATTAGTAATATGTTGTTATTGTTTTTAATTTGGACCTTCTTTTTTTTGACGGATGTCTCGAAGGACAGCTGGCTGAGGTGTGCGATTTATGACTTGCGCGTGCTATTTTTTCATAAAATTTTGTCTGCGGAGGTATATTGTTAGATAGCTGTGCTCACAGAAGAAGAGTTATGCTGTTGGAGTATTAACTTGTATTGTGTATATATACCGGGCAGTTCTGTTGTGACGATATATAGATATATGATTCACAGTGTGACAATATATATGTATATAATATGTACATCTCAGCCTCCTGATGAGTAGGTAGGTGAAACTCCGACGAAACAGTTTGTCACAGCCCCTCCTTTGGTGATTAGATCATCGCTAGACATCGAATTCATGTTGCTTGCCATCCTTCTTTTTTGCCTTCTTGTTCTATCTTCTGTTTGCAGGACGATGAGAGTCTGATGAGATGGAAACGCAATTTGCTAGGGCAAGCTGCCGAGATAACCGATCGTGAGTTCTTTCCTGTTCCCCTGGCCACACCTTTCACCCTCCGCCCCCCCCCCCCCCCTCCCCCTTCTTCAGCCAGCACTCTCTCTCCTTCTCTCTCTCCTTCTCTCTCTCTCTTTCTTTATGAGATTTCCTTTCTCAGACTGGAGAAAGTGTAAGCAGGATGTGAAACTGTGACCACAAGGTAAAGGAAAAGACGAAACCGCCTCTTGGCTTGAGGCATCCTCAGGCTTATGATTACTACCGGTAGGAGGAGCATA